GATGATGCTTCTGGCTGACAGTAATTTACAAATGTGACTAATAGCTAAAAGATAGTGACCTCAGCTCCCTTCCAGTTACTGTTCAATATCTAGGCTCTGAGAATTCTTTTCGCTGCTGTGAGCATTTTGTACTAACAGTGCAGAGTACTTTGCAGTGCAGAGAAGGAAATAAAAATCTTGAAAAGACAGAGTCATTAATGATAGACATTTACAATTCAAAATATCACTAAAGTCAAATTATATTTCAAGTTTTGGTTTTATTCATTTGCTAGCTTTCTTAGTGGTGAAATGCCAGTTGATTTTGAGCAATTGCTAGCCTCGGGTTTATTAACTTCAATCTGTTAGCTACAATTATTTTCTATTTTTAAAGTACTACTGCTAATATTACTCAAAGAAAATGACTTCTCAGTGATGTGAGAAAGAAAAAGAGGAATAAAATGCGTAGTTGATATGTTAAAGTTAATAGTGATAGGACTTAGTGGGTACCGCAACTGAGGATGTGTGTGATTTAAGCCCGGTAGGCTGGTGACTGCGCAGATTACTGTTGTGAGTATAACTCATAGTCAGTAATGTTGAAAATTACTAGCAATTCCTTCCTGAGGTTTTTTCTTTTTTTTTCTTTCTTTTTTTTTTTCTCATATAAGTTTAGCTCATTTCATTGTGTCTGCTGTTCTGCTTCTGAAATCTCTCTTTCAATGGAAAGGCTGTATAAAGGAAGATGGCATTTGAAATTGCTTACTGATACTTCAAATTGACAAATGTAGCAAACAAATGGATTTGAAAGCTCAATAAAATAAGGATCTGCTGAATTTTTGTCCAGAGCTTGGACAGAATGTCGCAAAGGAGAAGACATACTAAAAGCCACCTGATGTGACCCTGATGTGACTGGAAGGGCAAACCGAGTCGCATGGTTTTCTCTGCTATTTTCACTACAGCACCTCCATACGTTTGTGTCTGAATCCCAGCACTGGATGATTAGAGTACAAATCCAGAGTAACACTCTGCTATAAACAGTTCTGGACTTGGGAATGATGGATGGCTCTTATTTTCAGTGTAGGGAGGACTGGAAGTGGTTACCACTTTACAAAAATAAATGAAAAGTTACTTTGTCTACTCTTGGAACTGATAAAGTTGCCCAACATCTCCATCAGGAAGTAAAAGTCTGTCCTGTAGTAGTGTTTTAGTTGACTCAAAAGTTGTTCCTGCTCTGCAGTGATGGTCAATCACACTTAGTACACAGTTAGTTCTGAAACTAACTGAACTTTAGTGCCAGATTTTAAATGAACGTGGTGATGAACACAAAAAAGACTCAGGAAAATTAAAGACCATGTTTAATTGTTGATTTTGGTATGAATCTAACTTGCAGGAGTACTTATGTTAAGTGTTAAGCATGTTTTATTTGCATTGTTCCCTCCTTTTTTTTTTTAAACATAGGAAAACTTTTTTTTATGCCAATGACTTTGGATAATAGAGAGAAGTTGCTGAAGCCGTCACTGACTCGCATTAAAGGGCTGAGGGATTGCTGTTAGTTTCAGTAGTTCAGTGTGCAGCAGGATTAAGAAGAATACATACTAAAACTGGATATTATTTCAAACCCAAAGTACCATGCTATAAATGTCTGTCTTTGGATAACATTAGAGTTTTTAATAGATCAGCTCAAACTTAAAAGGATCTAAAATAATGCTTCTGTGAATTTCTCTGCATAATAATTTCAAGGCAATAATTTTAGCTTGTGATAGACTTTATCAACGTATTAAGGTGGGGCAGTGGCCAAACCACAGGACAGGAAAGAACAGCAAAATATAGTGTTAATGATCATTCAGACACAAATGTTTTTAGCCATTGGCAGTAGCATGACAGCTATTGTGTGACAATAGAGTCAAATAGAGTTAAATAATGCATTTTGAACTTTTTTTTTCCCCAAAGAAAAATAAATGCTACTAACAGTGCTATATAGTGTTTAAGTACGAAATATATGCTATGTATTGTATTTAATTTTGTTATTTTAAAATGAGGAGTTTAGAGTGAGAACTGTAAGAGGAAATCCCTTTTTACAAGCCTTTCAAAATGCAAATTTACACCCCAAGGGACCAATAGAATTTAAATTATAAATACAGAATGTATTTAGGGAGTTTTAAAACATGTATTACTGAATTGATAGAGCATAACAGTTCCCTTGCTTAGGCAGCATTATGCTCTATCTTGTAAAATGTACTTGGGGACATGTAAATAGTTTATTAAGCCTACAGTCCATAACTAAAGTTGTTATATTTTAATGTATATATTTTTCATTCATGGATTATTGATCCAGTAAATTCTAACAATTTGTCCTCACACCAAACCATTTGAGTGTTGTTCAGAGTCTTTGCAGTAATTATGTAATGCCTCAGATCCCCACCTTTTAAAACCACCTTGTAGTGCCACCCTGCATATACATGTTGTGTGTCTAAAAGCAGGCAAGACAGGAAGCTGTCATTCACTTTTGCATAAAATGCTTTGCAAAGAGAAATTCTCTGGATATTTCCGCATAGGGAATCTACAGTTCTGGAAAGAAAATAACTGTGAAGTGCTCTCTACAAGCATGAGGGATGTATATAAAAAGGAATAAGGAAAATAATTAAATATCATTCCGTTGTGTGTGGAATGTTTTTTTCCAAGCTTAGGCAAACACTGTCTTTATGGCTTTCTATCTCTCTCTCATACAGCATATTGTCCTTTCCTCTTGGAAAATTGGCAGAGTCCCACTAGGTGTACCCAATATTTTCAGAGGTGTTTGGTTTGGACCATGTTTATCTTCTGTGCACGTCCGGTGTTATTAGAAATAATTCTCAGGAAGAAGCTGAGCTATAAAGAGCTAAGTAGAAAAGTATTATCTTTTTCTCTGCAATTTTGAGGGCCCCAAATAAGTGATACTCAAGGTACATAAATATTTCTATTGATTTAAACCATCTCATTACTGCATACCAACTACTCTAACAGATATGTTGGCTATGTCATCCATCTTGTGCCTGATGAGCAACATGAACTGAGAAAGTTAATGGCTGTAATTCTGTGGCCTGTGGAGATCAAGATTTTTAACAGTCTGTGGTAAGCTAAAAGATCTCTTAAGGATGTTGATTTTATGAACATTATCTTCAACAAAGCAGTAACCCATAATATTGACAAATATTTTCACACTGAAAAAGAAAATAAGTAAAATGACAAAGACTGCCTTTATTTTCTTTTCATCTGCAAAGAAACCCATTGTTTCAGAGAGCAATGGAAAAAATTTTGAATGGAAGGATGTTCTGTAAAAGTACATCATTTTGTCTATCGTAGGTAAAAATCTGTCATGTGTAAAGAGATAAATATGTTTTAAATGTTTATGAAAAGAAAGGGAATTTATACAAGGCAACTTTTGCAAGGGTAATTCAGCATCTATTTTTTACATAATGGATTTTTGCTTTATTAGGAATGCTTATTTCCATGAACTATAACCTTTAACTTTCTCTATTTTTTTTTCTCTCTATGGATACAATGCTTCAGATTATTTGTTCTGAAGCCTTTCCATGTGTAAAATATTTCTTAAATAATAGTATAGCCAAGATACATTAGTGTTTTTTTTTATGTTGTTCATGTTTTGCCTCTGACTGAGAAATGGTTTTGCCATCCCACAGACTATATATATATATATATTTTTCAGACTGTAGAAGCCTATGCTATTTTTAGGGTTAGGGATGGTGCCCGGACTCTTTGAATCCCATTCATATGCCTTAAATTGACCTTTTTATTTTTTTTTTCTGGAAAGTCCCATGCAGTTGGGTCCCACTGGATGGGACCCAGCTGTCAAAATTAGACCTTCTGCTATAGTATTTAAAGTGACATTGGCATTTACCAAATCACTTATTATCTGGAACTGGCAAACCCTTGCTTTCAACAGAATAAATCTAGAAACTCTCCTCAAATTTTTCCTTTTTTTTTCCCCAGAAAACTAATCGGTGTTGTAAGATGAGAATTAAGCACCTGTTATTAATAGTGATTATGAATACAACGACAATACATATTTGGGATATCTTTAATTTCAAGCTACTGAGTAGCTTGAGTATTTCATCAGTTGTATTTTAAAACAGAAAATAGTTCCCATTTTAAATGATCATAAATATTAAGTAAACTTTCTTCCACAAAAATAATCTTCAGAAGAAGTGCATATGGACAGCCTTTTCTGAACATTTCTATTTATTTCAGAGAACCAAGTTAATATAGAATCATCCCAGATTCTTTATTTTCTGTGAAATTATTGATTTATTTTTTTAAAAGTATTTTGGTCATTTGTTCTTTTTTTTCTATTGTTTGTTTCCACAAAAAAAAGTTTGTGGAGAAAGGCCATAAGTCTTTTTTTGTGACCCTTATCCTTTATATGTTCATGATATACCAGCAAAGATTTTTTTTTTTGATGGAATTTTCATTGCATGAATTTTGCTATTAACTGCATAGTCTGCATATTTTTAAGTAAGTTATGCATAAAACCATATTGAAAGTGGAAAATGAATAAATCTGAGAGAGAGAAGCCTTGAAAATGGAAGGATAGTGGGAAAGCATGTACATATATACACAAAATACTGAAACAGAAAGAATCTACACTTTACTGCTCAAATTTAAATATAGCACTTAAGAATTACAGTATTCAAAACTGTGACCTTTTTCCCTTCTATAGTAATAGCAAGAATTCCTTCTCCTCCCCCCTTACCTATCACCAGGATCAAAAAAGTTGTTATATTTACATGTCAAGAATCATGGCATCTGGAGAAAAGAAGGATTTTTCTTGGTGAGAATGTTGTACAGTAAGACCTGACTGACATTTTATAAAATCTGAGATGCTTTCTGATCAGTTGATTTAATTAAACAGATACTCAGTTCTGTGCAGTGCCTGTGCATAATCTATTTTAAGCTTTTCAGACATACAAGTATATAGTGGAAAATGATATTATATTGGCTTGAATTACCTGTCATTTTATTTGCAGATACCTCAAATCAGCTATGCATCTACAGCTCCAGAGCTAAGCGATAACACCAGGTATGACTTTTTCTCTCGAGTGGTTCCACCTGACTCCTATCAAGCTCAGGCCATGGTTGATATTGTGACAGCCCTTGGATGGAACTATGTGTCGACACTGGCTTCCGAAGGGAACTATGGAGAGAGCGGTGTAGAAGCATTTACGCAAATCTCAAGGGAAATTGGTAAGTGCTCCTTTATCAGGTGTTATATTTATAGCTGACAGGTTGCAAAGTGTGACTAGACATTGCCTGGGCCTATGCAAAATGATCCAAACGCCCGCAGAAGTGCAACCTGGATGGAAATGGAGTGTTTTATAGATGATTTTGTTGCTTGCAGGTCTTTCAAGGTCTTTGACACTAATTTAATATGAACTCCTGACAAAGGCAAAAGAATGTGTGTGTTTGGCCCCTTCCTGATAAATTAGAGACTTGACAAGCATAAGCCTCACCTAGTATGGTTACTTAAAACTGAAACTTATATTAAAGCATTACTGGGGCAGGCAACCATCCCCAGTTGAATTACAGTGAAATTCGAGGTGATGTGATTGAGCTGACTTTGGAAAATCCTAATGCAATGAGTTCCATTACCCCTGCTCTGGCATTCATAAATCTAGTTCATATGGTTTTTAATCTTGCTAAACTTTAACACGACAACAATGAAAACTATGAAGTACAAAGACATACCCTTTCCTTTGGATTGAAAAGGGCTATATAAATATAGACATTTTAATGAGAAGTACTTTTAAGTCCATCTGGTCTGATCAGATTTTTTCTCACACTACAATAGCTATTTCTGGCCTGAAAAAAAATGGCTGTTTCTCAGAGACAATAGATTTTAGGTGCCAAGTAAGTAGATGAAGTAGTAGATGCTTTGAAAGAGGGACGAATGGATGTTTCACTGACTGCAATGTGAAAAGACAAAAAGTAATATCCTTACAGGAAAAAAAAATACAACCCGCTCTCTTGTCCTTCTTCAGAAAGTCCAAGTTACTTTCCTGCACATGACTGTGAGAGGAAAACCAATAATCTCTAATTCTTTCAAGTCAATTTGGATGACAGAACATAAGGAAATCTTCCATTTTCAGTAAACACATGTAATGTAGAGATCGTCTCAACCATATAGGTGGTGCATGTATGAGTAAGATACCTGTACCATAACAAATATGCCTAGTTTCTCACAATATCTTGTGATAAAATCACAAGAATTTGTTATTTAGGATACTGCTGTGTATAATATGATGGATGAATTAACTGATAAATACGCTGTTTCTAGCATCTAATCAATACTCTGATCCTATGTGTGTGCCAAGGCAGATCAATGCCTTGGTCAGTGGTTTGATCTGGAATTAGTGAGGGCATGGCTAATTTATCAAAGGTTTAAGCTAAAATAAAATATGAGATTGTAACTCTTAGTAAGAGAATTCACACAAAGCACTTAAAATGAAACTGAGCTTTGGTCTGGCTGTTATTGCAGATAACCTGCAGATCAATAGCCAGAAAAAAGACACATCAGAAAACTGTAATTCTAGAAATTGCACTGCAGGTTTTGCTTGCAGATTTCTAAAATCATTGTTAGGAGAAAATCTCTTTTGAAAATGATGTATTAAAAAGGAAGGCCTATTCTTTGTGTTGGATACTGAACTGAATAGATTGGCTGCCCCAGAAAGTCACAGCCAAGTTCATTGGTTTAAAATCACTTTTTTTTTCCTGTGCTCCAACTCGTTCTAAAAGTAGATAAAAAAAGATCATTTTTACTGTTTCTGATTTCAAGAAATATGGCAATTCTTCAGATCATTACAATACTTGGTTTCACTGTAATGGCAATGATTTGAATTTGTGTCAATTGGACCTTGTGTAATCCTAAAATGACCAATTTATTACACTAATAATCTTAGTTTAATGATGATAGTATGATTGACTCTAAAGAACTTAAAATAATGAGTGGGAATCCTAACATCAATCCTAATCCTACAATCCTAATCCTACACAGATCTTGTACTTCAAGAGATACATTAAATAATTCACTTTCACTCCCTTTTGCGACTTTTAAGGATCTAGAAGGCATTTGCTCTTTACTAGGACACTTCCTTTTGGGAACCTCTATTTTAGTAGCAGCTCATCCACTGCTTTCTTTGGTCATTAAAACTGTTATTTAGTGATGAGGCAATGCGGTTACCAAATTGTTGTAAGTCAATAGGAAAGCAGAGGATGGGCAGGAAATTATAAATCAAACAAGTTATTGAAGAGGGAATTAAAATTCCTGGAAAAATGCTGGAAAATCAGGCAAATAATATGCAACCACAGGGACAAGATTGATAGCCAGTGCAGATTTGTTAAAAATAAATAATATCAAACTCAACCTAAATATGCGTGTGTGTGTGTATTTTCCAGTTTAAGAGCTTTATGGTTGGAGAAGAAGCACATGATGTCATGTATGTTGAGTTAGTAGTGTTGTCTCAACTGTCACATACAATATTCTACTAAGCAAATGTAGTTATTGTGATCTAGATGAAAATATCATAGGCTGTATGCAGAGCTGCTTAGAAATCATTTTTGTGTCATGTTTGGCATGGACCTATCCTTGATCAGGTACTAGCTGATATTTCCATGCTTAGCCCAGGTGGAACTGGAAAGAAGCATAGACTTATACAATTTGGAGGTGACTTCGGAATGGGAAGAAGTATATATATATGAGTATATTGGAAGAGAGGGGAACAATTCAAAATCAGCTTGATAAATTGAAGATATAGTCTGAGAAAAACTGTATGGAATTTGAGAGACAAATGTAAGGCATCACACTTCAACAAGATGAATCTTTGCAGTGAGAAAGGTAAAAAGACTGGGTAGAAAATGCCATCTCAAAAAATTATCCGAGCATGATAATGAATTATAACCTGTATTTCTTATGTTATACTGGAACTTGTACAGAGGCATATAGTGTGCAAAATAATTTGAATAATCTCCTGCTTTGATTGGAGTGGTGAAACTTCAGTTTGACTTGGTATAGGTTTTGTTCCTCACTTCAGGAAAGGTGAGAGAGTCCATGACTGAGAACAAAGATGATAATCACAAATCTTGAAAACATGGCCTGTGAGGAAAGGCTGAGCAGCATGGTTCATTAGCTGGAAGAAGGCTTGACTAGGAAGGGAAGGTGATGGAAACTAATGTTTTAAAATAGACAAATGGCTTTTACAGAAAGACAGAGAGCTAACCATTCATCAAAGTACAGAATATGTGAACAGAAGCAATTGAATTAAACCTTAGCATGATTCAGCTTAGATTCAAAGAAAGTCCTTTTCAATGGCAAAGATATTAAAGCATTAGAACAGATTGCTTGGGGACATGCTGGAACGTCCATCACTGACAAACACCTGCCCAGGCATTATGTAAGTGTACTTAGTTCTTCCTTGGGGCTGGGAGGTAGACTGAATGGTTTCTTAATGTCCCTTCCAGTCTAACTGAGATATTCACTGTCCTCAAACCTTTCCCCTGAAGCGTAGGACTGGAAGCTTTTTCAAAATGGAGAGTTTGATTCTAATTAAATCCTAATTAGAGTGATCTAATTATTAGGTCTGGGAAGCTAGGATTATCACATAATTAAATAGTATGAGACTGTACCTAAAGCAGCACAGGTTACCAGCTTCAGGTTAATAGAATGTGTATTAAGAGAGCCTAATCAGGACTTCCATTCCCTTTTGCTGTGGCCATATGAATGCATAGGACAACTAAACTCCTTTTTGAAGAGTTTATTTCCTTTTTAAGATAAGCAACAGCAAGAGGAGTCAAAGTGAATGTAAAGATAAATATAATGGAAAGCAACTAATGTGAAAGAAATTGATATCTTAATTTCTGAAAAAAAATAGTGACTAAGAGGACACAAGATAGCAGTTTTGAAATTATAAATGAGAGAAAGCTCCCATCTTTTTCAAAGTTTTCTCCTGTCTCTTTCAATTTTTCTTCAGTCAGACAAGAGTGGAGCATACATGAAGTCTAATATTTTTAAGGTAGAAGATGTATACTTGGTTATAGAAGTACTTATTCATCATGAGCTTGACTCTTCGATTCTAATTTCCAGTTTGATTTGCCCTCTATTCATCTCCTACTTCTTGATCAACAGAATCAGAAAGGAGGAAGCAGTCTTCCTAATGAAATATGGAATACTGGAAAAGTCAAAATGGTACCACCCTGACATGTCACAGAACATATTATGTATCAAAATTTGCTCTCATTTTAATGACAAAGATCATGTCTGGGACAAAGTGTAGCTGGAAATTAAATATTCTACATGACAATAATTGAAAGGAAGATAGGGAAATGGTACTTATTCTAACTCATTCTCCTGTGCATCATTGTTTGAAGACAATGTCTAAATTTATAGTATTTTCCACTCCCATTACAAAGTCAATCAATGATATTACTGTAATCATTTTGGCATAGTGATCAAGTTATTTTGGTACATTGGCCAAAGGAATGAAATGATACAAAATGATAATGCTTAAGAGAACACTGACTCACTGAGAGAAAATAGAAAAAGAAGCACATTTTACCAAGTCCTCATTAAACTGTCATGCTGAATACTGTTCTTCTATTTACTTTGCCGTTAATGATGTTTGACAAAATATGCATTGGTAAGTCTCTAATCAGACTTTCCTTTAAAGGTTCATTTCCTCTGCCATTAGATATCAAATGAATTTACCATCAGAGATAAAAATGTGAGGTCCTTTTCCATTCTTTACAAGATACAAAAGGCTTGGTTCAGAAAGATCTCTTTGGGGTCAAAGTGAATGTAAAGATAAATATAATAGAAAGTACTTGCGCAGTTAGTGCAATATTTGTAAAATACAAGAATATGCAGAACATACCGAAACGTATATAAAATGGTAGCTGATATTTTAGCCCTACAAGTGGTCAATGAAGCATCACCATGAGTTCTGATGGTAAAAAGGCAGTGAAGCCCTTATGGAACACTACTGAAATGGGTGTTAAAAGTGCTAAAGACTGGAAACGGTAGTGATCGTTCAGGAAAGGTGAGAAAATTTAGCATTGCTTGCCCATTTTTGCCTGTAAGTCTGGAAATCTGTACATCTTGCCAGAGGTGTAAAGCTGACAAGAGAACTTAGGATCGGATCTTTACTGAACTAAAATGACATAGCTTTGTGGCAACTTTATTCTAGAAGCAAACT